AACATCATCATCATCGTCATCACCACCACCGCCGTCGTCACCAAAGCCATGATCATCATCACCACCATCTTCATCATCATGTCATCACCATCGTCATCAGCGTTCGTACCACCATCATCAGCAGCAGCATTGTCAACTTCATCATCGTCGTCATCGTCGTCACCAGCATCGTCACCAGCACCACCGTCAGCATCACCGTTTACATCATCACCATGACCACCATCCTCCTCCTCCTCCTCATCATCATCATCACCATCATCTCCTCCTCATCATCATCACCATTTTGTCGGCAATACCTTCATGGACATTCTCAACAATCTGCATATTCCTCTTCATCCTTACCACCATGATTAATCAGACGCGTCTTCATCAGGACATTACGACTCTGCCTCTTCCACCTCCCCCTGCTCTTCTATTATCAGACAGCCGACGACGTGTTGTTCTCAATACTCGCTCCCAAAGGTCCCGACCCCTTTCCCTGGAGTAGATGTTCGTCCGGGATTCATGTTTGATGTTTCCTGGGCCCGATAACGGGCATTGAGGACGAAGTCAAGGAACAGCTTCCCCAATGAGAAGTCAGAGATCCGGGTCCTCCTCCTCGTCTTCCTCGTGCAGGGAATGGCCCTGCAGGGAGCCGGGGCAGGACCCACTTGGCCCCGTTCATGCCCCGCCGCGACCTGCAGCTGTTCATCCGCTGGCTGGCCTGCAGCCTGTCGGACAGCAGGCGGGGGGAGGACAGGGGCGAGGGGATTTGGACGGGGCATAGCGGACGAAGATCGGTATGATATCCGAGTGAGGGGGCCGAGCGGTCTTACGGTCCTTGTGTGCATGGCTGTAGTCGGGGGAACCGCGGTGCGGCTTGTCGTTTCTCTTGTCCTTGTTCTTGTTCGTGCTCTTGTCGTCGTCGCCCCGGGCGGGTCGAAGTGGGGGGTGGGCCGCGGGTTGGTCGTTGCGAGGGTGGGTCGTGGCGCGGGGCCGACCCGCGCCGCGACCCCCGCCGCGCCCCCGTACTGCTACCCGCCACTGCTGAGGACTGCGTAAACTTGCCCGCCAACTTGCACGCCCGTTCCAAGGCGGCTGGGGAATTCATACCCTACGGTGGCACGTCGGGGTGAACACTTCCCAGCCGCCCTGGGACTGGCGCCCCCGATGGTGCAGCAGTTTGTCTCCTGTACCGCTCTCCGTCCGCTCAGGGGTGGGGAGGCGGATGGTCGCCGTGAATAGACAGTGTGTCTTGGATTTGTTTGCTGCTGGCGGTGGGCCTTGACGGGGCTGTCAGAAACTGCTCGGGGTGAGAAGGTGGTCGCGGAGAATGTCGCGGGGAACCAGGGACCGTCTCCACCGAGGCCTTTCCCCCAATGGAATGGCAGGCGCTAGAAAGTACGAAGGGGTAGTGGGCAGGAGGAGCGGGGAGGGAAGTGGGAGTGGAGGGATTGGGATGGCAGGGAACGAGAGGGGGGAAAACAGATGGCAGCCGAGGAGATTATAATAAGTGAGCGAGTTGGACAAGGTGGAGAACGATGGAGACAAGGTGGAGAAGTTGCACGGTTCTGTGGATGCGTGGTTGTCAAGGAGTACGAGAGGGAGGCGGATGAGGAGGAGGAGGAGGAGGAGGAGGAGGTGGATGATCCAGCGAGGGGGAGCGGGGAGTAGGGGGAGCGGGGGGTTGGTTGACGACAGGAGGGCGAAGGTTGTGGCAGAGGGGAGGGGCGAAGGGAATGGGCTGGAGCAGGATCAGGAGGACGTGGATGAGAATGAGGAGGAAGCGGGGAGGAAACGGAGGAGGAGGGTGAGGAAGAGAAAGAGTAGGAGGTGGAAGGAGGAAGGAGGAGGGGAAGGAGAGGAGGGAGGAGGAGGAGGGAGGAGGAGGGAGAGAGGAGGAGGAGGAGGAGGAGGAGGAGGATAGGAGGAGGAGGGGAGGAGGAGGAGGGGGAGGAGGAGGAGGAGGAGGAGGAGGAGGAGGAGGAGGGGGAGGAGGAAGGAGGGGGAGGGAGGAGGAGGGGGAGAGGAGGAGGAGGAGGAGGAGAGAGGAGCAGGAGGGAGGAGGAGGGGAGCAGGAGCGGAGGAGAGGAGGAGGAAGGAGGAGGAGGAGGAGGAGGAGGAGAAGGAGTGGGAGGAGGAGGGAGGAGCAGAAGGAGGAGGAGGAGGAGGAGGACGAGGAGGAGCAACAGGTCGGGGGGGGAAGGGCAGGAGGAGGGAGCTGCCACGAGGAAAGGGAAGGCCGAGGATGTGGACGAGGCAGAGGAGCGGAGGGAAGCGGATGCGACTCGGTGAAGCAGGGCAGGACCTGAGCGGGTGCGACAGGGCGCCAGGCTCAGACCGTATAGCGCATTGAGGAGGGGCAGGGGAGGAGGAAGAGAAGAGAGGAGATGGAGGTTGGAGGGCGAGGGAGGATGATGTCAGGAGACGACTCGGTGAGGCAGAGCAGGACATGAACGGATGCAACAGGACGCCAGACTCAGATCGCGCAGCGCAGCGAGGAGAAGGAGGGCAGGGGAAAAGGAAGAGAGGGGCGTCGAAGAAGACGAAACGCTATGAACATAAGCTGTTGGCGCCCCCCGCGGATTTCCTAGATCCGCGCTGGGCCCCCCCCGGCGGCGCCTCTGGCGCCGCCCCTGGCGCGCTCCGCGCGTCAGGGAGGGGGGTCCGGCGCAGATTCAAGACATCCGCGCGCAACGCCAACAGTTTACGTATGTTTATGGCTTTTGTTGTTCCATTCTTCCAGAGGGGAGATGGAGGTGGGCGGGGCGGGGGAGGATGATACCAGGAGAGGGGGAGCGGAGGGATGGAGGAGGGGAGGCCGAGCCCGGTTCTTCCTCCCTCCCCCCCGTCGTGTCGTGCCGCGGGCGGGCAAGGCCAGTTGGGCATGGCGAGTACTCTCAAGAGATCTCCTGCAACGCTCCACGCTGGCGTTGCCCTCCACGACGGGAGCTTCTTCAGTGCCTTACGAAGTTTTTCTACATCATGAAGTGCATCCATGTGAGCCTTCATGTAGTCGATTGGTGCATCCTGCTCTTCATTCGGATCGATCCATTCCACGTGCGACTGTATCTGATTCTCATCTGTCTCCAGGTTGAAGGGGCGCCGCCAGAATCCTGTGGCCACTTGAGGAGCCTGGCATCTGTGCAGTACTCGTGCACTGGCGCCCCCTCGTATACCTTGTTTCTGAAACTGACTTATCCACTCCAACGCCCATGCACGCGTGGTGGGGATTCGTGCAAACATTCGCCCGCGGGGGCCTCGACAAGTTGCCGCAATGAGTCTGGCAATACGATGTGCGTCGTAGAACTTGCGCTCTTCCCACGCCTCCCACAATGCCTCAACTCGGTTCTCCAACAACTGATTCTGCATGTGGTGCTTCTTTTGTTTGAGCTGCCTGCTAATGCGTGCGATGTCTAAGCTGATGCTGTCCAGGTTGGCCTCATCCTCCTTGGCCTCTCTGCGTCGTGCCAGTAACGACGATACTTCTCGTGAAAGGGAACAGTTCGACTCCTTCGTCTCAGTGTAACCTGGCGTGCTTTTGAGCATGCCGACGGAAACCTCATTGATACACTCCATCAGTCCAGCATTAATCTGGTCAACGTTGCCCTCAACTCCCATTGTTCAAATTGATTATTGTGTTGAGCTAACCGTTCTTCTACTCTACTGATGAATGCTTCTCTCTGGTATCCACATAGTAGCATGGCATTGCAGGCCTCAGCGTTCGGTCTGACTACTCTCTTTGCGTGCCGCTGGTGCACGAAGGTGTGGTAGAAGGAAGCTTGCAGCGGGAAGTGGTCTTTAGCCGAGGCGCATCTGATGTGTTGTAGCCTTTGTCCCTTGCGCCAAGAAACCATGCACTCCTGAATGTTGTCAAGCGTCGTTCTCGGTAGTATAATGTAGTCTATGCGCTTTTTGCAGGCCTCTACAATGCTGAAATAAGTAACTCCAGCTTCGAAAAAGCTGTTCATCAAAATGAGGTTGTGTGCTTTCAGCACTGGCTTGATTATACCGTAGTTCATGCCATCTCTGTCCTGCTCTGCCGTCCCCGCAACTGGTGGTTCATCCTGGTCCGCAGCGCACGTGGAGTTCAAGTCAGTGCCTATGACGGGGATGCATCGCGAGGGCAGCTTGCACAACTGTCCATGAAACCGCTCTGTCAACTCATGGGAAAGCTGCCTCTGTGTGGCCGCTGCTCCTCGTCCTTTGCCCCTCGTGGGGTAGTAAAGAGGAAAAACTGCAAAATCGTGCCGTCCACGCCGGTATCGTATCATGAGCCCTCGCCCTTGAAGTCGACCGCTCGCTGCATGCACTCTGATCACATATTGCGGCTGGTATCTCTTGATGCACACGCCGATGGCTACACCACAAGACGCGTTGGCACCCTTCGAACCTCCAGCATGGTAGAAGTGGTGATGGGCCGTCATGCTCTTCGACGGTGCACCCCTATCCCTCAGGCCTGTGCCCTGCAGCGTGACGATGTCCACCTGACGGTACTCGTCGCTGATGTCTTTGAGTCGGCCTGGCGCCGCGGCGGTGAGAGGATTGTAGCTGATGACCCGAAGCAATCGCCAACCGCCGCCGCCCCCTTCTCCTGGCCCTGCCATCTTGCCTGCATGAGACTGGATGGAGTGTCTGCGAGGTGTGTGGGGAGATCCGCTGCCGATAAGCACTCGATCGAAAGGGGCAGTTCAGATGAGTGGCACCTTGGACACCGACCCGTGGCAGAGAGCCCTACATACCAGGCTACCCAGACCACTTCGACCAGAGCATGACAACACGGTCACGGATTTGGCCACGTCCGTTTTCGTGGATGACATCGCCCGCAAGATCGTGGGTGCAAACATATCACATCTCACCGAAGTTGCAAAATGGGAAAACCGCGTCGTCGATCATGTCATGCAGGAAGTAGGGGGAGCTCAGAACATCGGGAAACAGATGAACCTGATTCAAGGGGCAGGTCGAACAGCAGGCGCAGTAAACAGGGCTTTCCATGAACGGAAACAGCATATGGATGGACAGGTGGTTGCAGAAGCAAGATCCCTGGGAGGACGGCAGCATTTCAACAACGGGTTCTCGGCTGAGAAGAAGTTCCGGATGCAAGCAATACGTACGGCATGGCACAAGATTGGCAAGTGCTGGTCCACCCCCAAGATCTCCATGAGGTTCAAGGGCATAGTCTTCTCGGGGCTCATCATCAATGCGGCCTTGTCGGGCCTTGAGGCGTTCGTTCTCAACATGCGCACCCCCCTTACGGTTCAGTCGCTCGCGCCGTTGCAGCAATTGGTATACAAGTTCGCGAGGGTGGTGCTCAGGGGGAAACACGCCAAGAGGCAGCAGGACAAGATAAGGGCCCCCTTCCAACTTAGAGATTCAGAGGCACTTGAAGTTTGGTGCGTTGTTCACGGAGCTCCGCATCAGAAGGCTCAAGTGGCTCCAGGATATCGTAAATCACCAGAAGGCCCACCAGCAAGTGATAGCAGCCCTAGTAGGCCAAGCCCAACGCAAAAAAAAAACTATGAGGTAGATCCAGAAGGCATGCTTTTGCCCACAGCGAATGCGTGGCTCCAGCAGTTTTGGAATGATCTCCAGGCTTTCGAGGTGACCTCTGAAGGGCCGAGGCTTTTATAAACCCTGGAAGGGAGTTGTTTGACGCGTTTCGCCGGGGAGGCCAGCGACATTTTCTACAGTATAGATGTTTCAGAGCTCAGGTCTGGTGAACTCTCTAGGCAGGTTGCTCATCCAGAGCACTCCCTCGAAATCGAGATCCCTCAGCCCCCCACTCCAGAAGACCTGGTGAATGGGGTCCCTGGGGTGCTCTGTCCAGTTTGTGGTGAAAGTTTTATAGATACCAACAGTATGGTTTCACATTGTGCACGAGTTTGCGCGCGAGGTCGTGAGGACACTGAAGCAATACTGCGTCAGATTTGTGCCACTGATCGCATCCCGCACATAGCCACATTGCCGAATTATTGTGTCTTGTGCAGCAGTAGCTTTGCGGATCGAGCCACAACACAGTGGCACCTTGCAGCAGCAGTTGCAAACAGGAGACGCATTCAGGATTTCAGCGCGAGGGCTCCGATGAGATTGGGACACAACACCACCATCTGTCCGTTGTGTCCCCTTGAGGCTCATGGTTCGAAGGCAATCGGCACACATCTTGCAAACGTACACATCTTGCCGAACATACATAAGCATTTCGTGCACTTTGATGTCGAAGTGGCTTGGTGCGATCGAGCAGGTCGAGGCGGCTCCGACTACGGTCAAGAAGCACAAGGGCACGGCCAAGGATGGCGAGGGGAAGGAGAGGAAGCTGCTGCTCCAGTTGGAGGCTCGGATGAGAGAACGAGAGGCATCGGACATACACTTCAAAGGCCCGACGGGCCACCCTGTATATTTGGCGATGAAGGCGGCCACCACCAAATACGAGAGCCTAGTGCGCGAGGCAGGAGCAGGACACGAGCATGGATCACCGCATCTTCACGCCGCAGCGGCTCTGCTCACGACACTTGCGTCCACGACGACAGAAGGCAAAAGCGACGAAGTTCAGTGCGTGTTCCTGGCCATAAAGCGGCTCGACAAAGCGAGAGAGGAGTCCAGCCATCACGGCTAGCCTTCCACTTTAACGGACACTGGCCAGTGGGTCTGAATCTCGGACAAGAGCAGCAATTGGCAGACAAGAAGTTTCATCCACAGGAGATCAACACGGCGGACGGATACACGTGGGCAGCGGTGAATCGAGTGGTACCACTGGCGTTGAGGGCGTCGGGACTGACGAAGCTTCCAGGCAAGGCTCCCGTGGGTGGCTTGGCCTACTCGATGCGCCGCTAGCACCTGAACCACTGCGAGGGCGAGAACGAGGCAGGCTCCCGCGGGTGCGGCAGCGTGAGCAGCAGGCAGCCAGCAGTTTCTCGCAGAGAGTGCCCTCCCCTCCTCGTCCTCCGCCGCCTGGAGCCATCCCCTCTCTTTCCTACCTCAGATCCCTCAGTGTCCGATCGCGGGAGGACAGGCTGGAGGCCCTTCGCACGCGTGTGAGGTTAAGAGAATTAACCCGCAATTCAGAGTATAACTACCCCCGCGCCACGAGACCACTGCCCGCGCTGCGCGCGCATAGGCAGCGGTCTCTGGCCTTGCGCCCCCCTTAAGTCCCAAAGGCCCCCTCTGGTCAAGTATAAACCTAGGCTCTGCGGTGCCCAAGAAGAGCGAGCATTGCCAGCTGGCATGGACATCGATGCAGATAGCAGCAGCAGCTCCTCCTCCTCCTTCTCCTCCTCCTCCTCCTCCTCCTCCTCCTCCTCCTCCTCCTGCTCCTGCTTCTTCTCCTCCTCCTCCTCCTTCTCCTGCTCCTCCTCTTCCTCCTGCTCCTCCTCCTCCTCCTGCTCCCGGAGGGGAGGGGCTAATTACGCGAAGGAGGAATGGGCGGGGCAGGGCTGGGCTGGCCTGGGAGGGCGGATGACCCGCAGGAGGGCGGGCAGGAGAGGGGGGGGGGAAGACGGACGGGGCTCCGTGCCCCGCCCCTCT